TGAGCGGGGCCATTGACCAGTGGGAGTGATGCCCCCACCGCAGGAGGAAGATGCCTGCTTCTCAACCATTAGTCTCCACAGTTGATCCATTGTTTTACACTCTTGTCTTTAGCTCCTACCATCTTTCCTCTCTATATTTTTTTAAATTGTTCAAATGTTTGGTGGCTTTATTAAGTGTATTTTTAGTAATATCTAGAGAGGACGATAGAACTAACCTATTGGATATTCCTTCCACCCACAGATTTGGTCTTCATTGCGTGAAAGTTGTCCTGGAGTTAGGTAGAATCACACGTTTAAAATGCTTCCTTGGGCAGGCACTGTGCAGTGAGTGAAGCTACTGCTTGGGACACTCATATCGAGTGTATGTTCCAGTCACTACTGCTCAGCTTCTGATGCACCCTGGGAGGCAGCAGACTTGGGCCCCTGCCACCAATGTAGGAGACCAGATGGAGTTAGAGCTTCTGGCTTCAACCTGGCCCAGCCCTGGCTATTGGAGGTATTTGGGGGAGTCAACAGCAGATGGAAGATCTCTCACTCTCTCTCTTGCTGTCCCTTTCAAGTAAACAAAAATAAAAAATTTTGGAAAAAGCTTCTTTAAAAAAGACAGACTTCAGAGCTTCAGTTTACTCCTCTGAAGATCAGGGCGGGTTCTGGGTGTGATCATCTTCTCACACTCTTGAGTAAGGAGCTCTCGAAAGCATCCACATTTTCCTCCAGAAATGCACTTTTTGATCACTGCAAACTCATGGGTTGTTAATATTTCACACACAGTCAGTGGATGTGTCAAATAGAATATGGCTCCAGATGAGAGTACAATTCCCTTCTGAATTTTTGCTCTTGGAAAATATTTTTTTAAAAGATTTACTTATTTTTATTTCAAAGTCAGAGAGAAGGAGAGACACAGAGATCTTCCATCTGCTGTTTCACTCCCCAGATGGCTGCAATGGCTGGAACTGGGCAGGACCAAAGCCAGGAGCTTCATCCAGGTCTCCCACTTGGGTAGCAGGGACCCAAGTACTTGTGCCATCAGCAAGGAGCTAGATTTGAAGTAGAGCACCCAGGACATAACGCAGTGCCAGCCCCTTAAAAAATATTTTTAGGCCGGCGCTGTGGCTCACTTGGTTAATCCTCCGCCATCCCATATGGGCACCAGGTTCTAGTCCCGGTTGCTCCTCTTCCAGTCCAGCTCTCTGCTGTGGCATGGGAAGGCAGTGGAGGATGGCCCAAGTGCTTGGGCGCCTGTACCCACATGGGAGACCAGGAGAAGCACCTGGCTCCTGGCTTCGGATTGGCACAGCACCAGCCATAGCGGCCATTTGGGGGGTAAACCAACGGAAGGAAGACCTTTCTCTCTGTCTCTCTCTTTCACTAACTTTGTCAAATAATAATAATAAAAAAAAAGATTACAAAAAATATTTTTAAAAGCCCACTGTAGGGACCGGCATTGTGGCATAGCGGGTAAAACTGCCACCGCCTGTGGTTCTGGCCTCCCATTTGGGCACCAGTTTGAGTCCTGGCTGCTCACCTTCTGTTCTAGCTCCCTGCTAATGGCCTAGGAAAGCAGAAGATGGCCCAAGTGCTTGGGCCCTGCACCCACGTGGGAGACCCGGAAGAAGCTCCTGGCTTCAGATTGGCCCAACTCTAGCTGTTGGAAAGTAAACCAGCAGATGGAAGATATTCACAGTTCTCTCTCTGCCTTTCACATGGTATAATGCGTCTTTCTGTTTAAAAAAAAAATAAAACTAAACAAAAAAACAGGGCCTTCTTAAAAAAGCCCAGTGTCCCTCTTCTTGGTGCTGTATTAAGGGAAAGCTGTTGGAAAAGATGGTTTCCTGTAACAGCTCAGCCGTTTGAACTGTGTTGGTGTGCTAAGGTTTGTTAGTAAACTACTAGGGTTATTCCTACTGTTGCCCATGTTGTATCAGTTGTACTCCAGTCTCTGTTTTTAAAGATTTATGTATTTAGTTATTTGAAAGCAGAGTGAAAGAGGGGTCGTCCACCACTATTCACTCCTTAGATGGTTGCAACTCTGACTGATCCGCACCAAAACTGGGAGTTCAGAACTCCATCAGGCCTCCCATGTGAGCAGTAGGGGCCCAAGTGCATGTCCATCCTCTACTGCCTTTCCAGGCACGTGTGCTCACACGGGATGTGGACGTGGCAGCGGCGCCACCACGCCAGCCCTGACTTACGTTTTCTGACTCCTGGCTCCATCTATTGTTTATGGTTCCCCTCTCTTTGGAAATACCTAGCCGGTTTTTCAGGGCTAATAAACCAATCAAACTCCCTCGCTTCCCCCACCCCTAAAACTGAACTGTAAAGGATCCTGTCTCCAGATGGCCTGTGTTGTCATTACCAATAGGAGGATAGTGTCTGGCCAGCTAGTTTGCAAAGCAGTTTTCCTGGGAGGATACCTACATGAGAAATTTAACAAACTAAAATTGCTCATTTGGAAGGCTGGTCTTTGAGCAGCTGTTAAGATGGTAGGCAGAAGGGCCAGTGTTGGGGCACAGTGGGTTGAGCCGCTGCTTGCAGCACTGGCATCCTCCGTGGGAACGCTGGTTCCAGTCCCTGCTGTTTGCTTCAGTCCACTTCCTGCTAATGCGCCTGGGAAGGCAGTGGATGGTGGCCCAAGTATTTGGACCGCTGCCACCCATATGGGAGACCAGCAGAGAGTTCTTGGCTCCTGGCTTCAGCCTGGCCTGGACCTGGCTATTGTGACCATCTGGGGAGTGAACCGACGGATGAAAGATCTCTGCTCTGTCCCCTGCTTTTCAGATATTAAAAAAAAAAAGTTAGGGAGAGGATTTTAGTGACGGGCTGGAGAGGGCCTGGGGACCACTTGTCATCCCATATCCCCTCTGTCAGGAAGGCAATGTGCTAACATTTCAGGGTAGACAGTGTTGATCAGAAACTGCGATTTTTGCACAAAACTCATCCTGAGAACTTAGGTCAGTAAGTAAATCTGATAAAGTACCATTCATTGTCTTTGAAAGCAAAATTCAAAATTCCATGAAAAGGTAAATTGAAGTAATTTAGGAGAGTCACTTAAAGCTGAATAGTTCATGTAATTTTAGAGTGGACTGACATCTCAGAACAAACTTTGCGATGATAAATCATTTATAGTCCTCCCAAGATTCATTTTGGAAATTTCACATTTTTAGTAGTAGGGGAAACAAGTTCCTTACAGCTCAACCCTTCTTAGGAGGATCACACTGCTCGCATTCTGTGCAGTGGAAATGAAGCCAGGGGGCACTGTTGCTGCTGCCGTTCCAAGCAGCCGTTTTTTCTGGGGCTACTGCATGACATCATAACAGAAGAAAAACCACGAAAACTCTTTCAAAATAGACATTTAATGTGATTTTTAGGCCCAAGTAGACACCCAGCATACAGTGTCCCCAGTGGACCAACTGCCAGCACAGGGCCAGGTGAGGCGAGCTCTGCAGGCCCTGATTCTTCCCTCAGCATTGTTTCCCTTGATGTGTTGACTTGTGGGTGCTTCTTAAGCACCCTAAGGTGCATGTCACTCGTGCAGCGCCCACCAGCTCCACCACTGCCACTTAGCTGCAAAAACAGGCTTCCCAAATGGCAGGGTTTCTTAACCTCCAGGGAACTCGGCGATCTTCTGGAACCCTCCCTAGAAAAATGTACACGGAACACAAGTGGACATTTTTTTTTTTTTTTTTTTTGACAGGCAGAGTGGACAGTGAGAGAGAGAGACAGAGAGAGAAAGGTCTTCCTTTGCCGTTGGTTCACCCTCCAATGGCCGCCGCTGCAGCCGGCGCACCGCGCTGATCCTGGCAGGAGCCAGGAGCCAGGTGCTTTTCCTGGTCTCCCATGGGGTGCAGGGCCCAAGCACCTGGGCCATCCTCCACTGCACTCCCTGGCCATAGCAGAGAGCTGGCCTGGAAGAGGGGCAACCGGGACAGAATCCGGCGCCCCAACCGGGACTAGAACCCGGTGTGCCGGCGCCGCAAGGTGGAGGATTAGCCTATTGAGCCACGGCGCCGGCTGACAAGTGGACATTTAACTCCATGGGTTCATGGGCCCCCGGGCCCCTGCAGTTTGTTAGACCGAGTGAAGGTTTCTGGGAGTCCCTGTGCTGGTGGGTGGGCAGAGCAGTTGCTCTAGGGAGACCCTGACATGGGGCGGGTGAAGAGGGGCAGGGCTACCCAGTGACCCAAGGGAATCATCTTGTAATTTCTCACAAATGAGCAGCACTTAGTTCTCAGGGCTTCCCTGTTTCAAGAGCAGACTACTTAAGAAGCCGAGTGGCTACCAGCAGTGCAGGAGGCTGAGAATAGCTGGCGTGGGGGAGTGGGGCTCCTCACCTGAGCCCCTCAGGACCTCATGGAACTCCTCCCCGGTGGCTTTTCATTTGACTTCAGTGAAGGGACACACCTCGCTTGTTTGTGTCATGAGCACTTAAGTACAGGACAATTAAGGTTAAGTCCCTGGAATCCCCCAACAGCCATTTCCTTTATAAATCCAGTATTCCTTACTTCCAGACATCTGAAAGAGCGGCCCTACAAATTTCTCTAACCGTGGCTTGCACTAAGAAAGGTTTACCAAGAGCCTCAAGGAGGCATCCGGATCTTCCAGCCGTTCTGGGCAGAGGGAAGGGGCATAACCGAGGCAGTCAGCTGTCTAACTGCCAAGTCAGGTTCACACTGAGTTTTGAATGGCTATTGAGAAGCAGAATTAAATGTTAAGTGTCTGATTATAGCCAGTTTCCACTCCCCAAAACACCCAACACTATCTTTCCCTGCATCAAGAAAGAAAACCAAGGCACTAGAAAGCAAGCACACTTAAGTTTGAAGATTAAATCTCTCTGTAGCATACTAAAACCCACCTGAAAATAGCCAGCAACTTCAGAGTTCTCCCATTGAATTCTTTTTTGCAGACTGACAAATTTAATGATTTTCTTACCCCTCTCCAAAAACGGATCACATAAATCACTATTTTTTTGGATGAGTTCTAGAAATCACACTGAAACTAAGTTACATTTACAAATATTAAATTTATTATAACTAGAGTGAAGTAATCAATTCTCAGATTTGGCCACCTTATAGCTCCATTTAAGGAGGGGATTTTTTTTTTAAACAGAAAGACGCATTATACCTTGGTCAAATTACTTACACATTAAAAAAAAAAAACTTCTATAAAGGAAACAAGAAAAGCAACCCTTCAGTTTCACATAATTAAAGAACAGAGAAAGCACGCAAGCTACATCATAGCTAAATTTACCAAACCAACCAAAGCCGGGGGATTTTCTCTTCTGATTATGTCATAAAAAGGTCCACTGTCTTATATACACATGTATATAATGTTACATTCCATCACTGTAAAAAGTCCCCTCTGCCCCCTCCCCGGAAGTTTCGGCCTAGTCTCCGAACTTGGACAGCGGCGCGCGCTCCTGCCGGTGCAGTTCGTTCTCGGTCAGCAGCTGGAGGTTCTCGGCGCGCAGCCGGTCCAGCTCCAGCTCCAGCTCCCGCACGCGCGCGTCGTCGCCCGGCCGCTTGCTCTCCAGCCGCAGCCGGTTGTTCTCGTCCTCCATGCGCGAGAGGCACTTCTCCAGCTCCAGGTACTCCTTGATGAGCTCCTGCTTGCTCATGTTCTGCAGGCTCTCGGCGTGGTAGCGCTCGTACGTCTCCGAGAAGTCCCGCTGCAGAAACTCGCTGCCGTCCCCCCCCATGCCGTCGCTGCCCCCGTCCTCCTCGCCCGCCTCGTCCATAAAGTCCTCGTCGCTGGTGTCGTCGGACTTGGCGGCGGCCCGCTTAGGGTAGAGGCCGGTTTTGAGGTCCGGTTCCTCCTGGTCGTGGTCATCCATAAGGAACTGCGTGGTGTTGTACGGCGCGACCGGCTGGCCCTTGGCGAACATCTCGGCTCGGAGCCTCGAGGCCCGCAGGCTCTGCTTCTCGTCGAACTTCTTCTTCTCCTCCCAGGTCAGCTTGTAGTACGGCTTCCAGTGCCGCTTCTTCTTGGAGGGGCGTCTCCTGTGCTTCTTCTTGCCCAGATGTCGCTGCTGCTGTCCCCACGCCTCCTTGGCCCCTGCGGCAGGGGCCTCCAACTTGTTGGGCTCGGAGTCCTGACACGCCTCGGCCCGCGGCTCCCCCGCCGCGGACAGGTCGCCCCCGTTCTGGCTCTTCTCGCCGGGTTCAAGGCAGGCCTGAGGCTGCGGGCTCCCTTCCCCCTCCGGCCCCGGAGGGCCGCCCGGCTGGGGGGCCGCTCTCGATTGCCACCTACTGTCCTCCTCGGGCACCCGCTCCTCCGCGCCCGGGGGCCGCTCGGGCTTCTGCTCTTCGCGGACCACGGCAGCACCTGTACAGTTGCTAGTTGGAGGCTGGTGTTGGTACTCGGACAAGAGGGGCTCGGCCATGGCTAGTGGAGTCCTCTTCTCGAAGTTTGCGAAATGTTGGCTCTGAATCCTGGAGGGAAAGAAAGATTTCCTCTTTTCTCTCTGAAGATGTCCGAGAGTCCTCTTCGGTAATTCCTGCAGGGACGCCTTGAAGCGAGTCCTCCTGTCGGCAAACTCCAGTTGCAACTTAGGGCGCTCAAGGCAGTAAAGGGTTAAGCGCCAACAGCGCGGCGACTTAGCGGGTCCAAGGGGGTGCAGCGGCAGGAGCCGTGCGCAATGTGCAGAGCGGGTGGGCCTCAAGCCGCCCCGCCGAGCGCCCCCACGTCGAGGAGCTGGTGGGCAAGGAGACGAGGTTAAGTCCAATGGGTTAAACCCAGCCTCGAAGGGGTTAAAACTACCCGATGACGCCGCCTCCGAGGGGCCGAATCCACAAAGGGTTAAATCCCCTGCCGCAGAGCCCACAAGGGGTTAAAGTCCCAGAGCCACCTCCTCCCACTTCCACGGGTGTCGCTCCAACCCGAGCTTCCAGGTCCCTAGGCCCGGCCAGAGCCTTAGCCGAGGACAGACAAACTCATCTCCCCTTTGGCTCGATGCTCTGCTCAGCTCAGCGCTCCTCCGCCTCCTCCTCTTTTCCTCCCTCCCTCCTCCCCCTTCACACGGCGCTTCTTCCGCCTCCTCCCCCGGCTTCCCCTCCCCACCTGCCTCTCCACCTGCCAACTTCCAACTGCTGTCTCCCAGCCCTCTGCGCCCTTTTTATATAGCAGCTGGGTCGCCCCGCCTACGCGCATGCGAAATGGCGCCTGCGTTGCGGGAAGCCGGGAGTCGTAGTTCCCATCCTTCGGGACCGCCGTCCTCGCGCGCCGTGCGACGTAGCCAATCCCAGAAGGCGTGGGGGGCGTCTCCTTGGCCGCCTCGGCCCACCGCTTGGCCCTCGCAGAAGAAACGTGAGCGGCCATTGGCTAGGAGTAACACGTCTCGCCCGGGAAGGGCTGCCAATCGCCAAGGAGATGGGGCGGGTCTCGGGTCATACCATTCTGCTCCAAGAATATTAGAAGATTCGGTGGCCTGCGGGGGCCCGCACAGAATATTTTTATGAAAAGGTGCGTCTTAAAGACTGTTATCGCATTCTATCCTCAGCGGAAGGGTTCCGACTGTTAGAAACATTTGTCAACTAAGGCAAAAATGGTTTGTTCCTAAAAAGTAGTCCCTAAAGTGGGAAGGAGGATTAAATCCTATAAAGAGAGAATGCTCGCCGTGGCTGCCAGCTCTCGATTCTTAAGACTACGGTAATGGCTGCGAGGCGTGCGGTTTGTGCCTGGGACTGACATTTGCGGAAGGATATTATGGTCATGTTTTTGTAAAAAACGAAAGGCGCATGAAGAAGTAAACAAATGAAGAACAAAAAGTGCCGCCTTAAAGGGACAGTGTGGCCGCGTTTAGTGCAGCAACCTCGAACTAGGCCTCGGAGGAGGGCGGGTTCGAGTCCCGGGTGACGTCGATCCCGGGACCAACCTCGGGACCCTGCGGCCAAGGCGGCTGAGGCCCAGCCCTGAGAGCCCTCTCCGCCCCAGGGGCCAAGGAACACTGGCGATCGGCGGCTGAGCCTCTGGCCCGGGCCGCGACTGGAAGGCGCAGGCGGTGAAGGACTCGCCCCCGGGCCTCCGCTCTGTCGAAGAAAATGGCCTCCTGGGGTCGACTGGGTCCCTTCACTTCCGACCTGGAGCGTTTCCGGGAGTCCGGATGGGGAGGCCAGGCCAGCTAATGGGCCTTTTTATTGGGAAGGGGTTCGAGAAAAAAATAGCGATTAAGTTATCACTCCTGGCTATCGAAAGTGAAGAGGGGTGCCATCCACAGAGCCCCCTCCTCTTGAGGGGGTGGGGGCAGAGCCAGAGGCTTCCCAGGAAGACAGGCCTCGTCCCAACACGGGGCGGGCACGGGCCTGGGCGTGCATTCGTGGGGGACCACGTCCAGCCCTGGGAGAAGTCCTGAGGGAACTCGGGGGACGCGCAGTCGCCGCCCGGCACCCAGCGGCCACCCGTTCCTGCTGCTGTGCCAGCGCAGCCCCTTCCATCCCGGGCAACCAGCCACTGGCCGCCCGCCGCCCGCCCAGCGAGGGACGCAGGGCTGGAACTGCCGTCTCCATTTCCCTAAGACTGAGGGAAATGAAGTGACTCGTCCAAGGTCACGTGGCAGCCAGGCGGTTCGATTTCTGTTTCCTCAAGAACTCTGGGCTTTGTTTCTTTTCATTCCCAACAGTGTCTGCTATAACACACGCCCTTGCTTCTTTGCGAACCGGTGTTAGGAGGGCTCTGCGGCCAGAGCGTGCGCCCTGCCTTCCCGTCCCTGGCTCAGGGGCTCTGCGGGGGCATCGAATGGCCGTGAACCGAGACGGGGTGGAGAGCCCGCCTGGAGCTCCGTGAGCCGGGAATTCTGGGCGGTGTCGGGACAGGGTCTTCAGGCACAGGGGCAGAAGGCAAGGAGGAACTCGGGGTGGTTCCGTGGGACAGTGTAGATGCGCTAAGACACTTAAGAAGGTTTGTGGAAAACTGGGATAAAAGATGGTTATTTGGGTGCAAACTACAGTGGGAGCTCCAAAACCTTCGTGAAGGAACGATGCGTGGATTTCCAGTTTTTAAATGTTTTTTATGTTCAGCTACTGGAAAGCCAGAGTGACAGAGAGGTCTTGTATCAGCTGGTTTACTCCCCAGATGCCTGCCACAGCCGAAAGGAGCGCCGATCTCCCCAGTGGGTGGCGGAGGCGAACAGCTGAGCCATCCTCTGCTGCCTCCCTGGGTGCCTTAGCAGGAAGGGGCCCTCTGATAGCGCAACTGCTGTGTCATGACGCCCACCCCTTAAAAACTTTTCTGGACCAAAATTTCCCTTAATTGCATTTCCCAGTAAGTTTTCGAAGTGTCTCACACATGCACACACACCCGCGCGCGCGCGCGTGTGCACACCCTGGGAACTATGGGGTGGGGTGTTGGTGCTGGGCACGCCTCGTGTGCACTACAGCCTGCGCACTACAGCAATGCCTCTGGGACGGGTCCCGATGTTCCGGCGCTGACCTTCCCTGCTTGTTTTCTCTGGGCTTCCTACCCGAAAAGCCTGCTCTGGCCCGTGTTTCTGCAGGCTCCCTGAGGAAGAGGAGTTTTGCAGAGAACGGGACCGAGGCAATGGGAAGCCTCCCAGGTGTCCCCGCATTTCCTGGGGGGCAGGGGGGACTCCCCGTCAGATCCGGAAGGGGCAGCCCCGAGCTCGGCTTCAGGGTGCCACCGGCTTCCACTGCACGCTGGGGAGGAGTGGGCAGGCTCAGAGGTCAGGTCGCGCGGTTCTAGAATTCTGTCAGAGGCGGCCCGGGAACCTTACAGTTAGCTGAGTCCCAACCCTTTGGCTGCCATTTTGCATGCCCTAGTGGTAGCCGAGCCCAGGACTGCCCTGTGGAGAAGGACTCATCCCGATTTCTCAAACAAGGTGACGCGGGCTCAGAGCAGTGAAGAATCCTGCCCACCCTCTCACGGCTCGCGTGCAGGTGAAGCGGCCCGCGGCGCTCGGCGGGTCCTCTCCCGGGGCGCGCTGCTCACCCTCGGCAGAAGTGGCTGATTAAGCCGCCCTGCTGGCCACCCCGGGCAGGGGCTCCAGGAGTGCGGAGAGGGCTGGCCCCACCTTGACAACTCGGGCCAAAGAGCGGGACTGTGGCTTCCAAGCGCCCGTGCAGGCCACGCCTGGGACGGCGGTCGAGGCCAGGGCGGGAAAGGGCACTCAGGAGCCTACAGGTCTTCAGCCAAGGGCCTTCGGATGCTGGGGCCCGGGTGGTGGCAGGGGCGGGGGCTGGGGCTGTTACCGCCCGCCGCCCTCCGCCCTCCGCCCTCCCCGGGTGGGGACGCTGGCGAATGCCCTCCGAGCAGAGCGGGAGACGCTCAAGTGGGCCAGTTCACCGTTGAATACGGCCTGTGGCTAGGGCCAGGCCGGCCCACGGAGGCCAGCAGAGCTGGCTGACCAGAGGGAAACCAAGGGCGCCGGGCATTGGGCATCTAAACTAGCCCCTTAACTGCTAACCAAATGCCTGCCCCAATAATTCTGCTTTTGACATGTTGAATTTAAGGCATAAATTAAATGTGACACTAGGGTATCAAGGGGCATTTGGATAAGTGAGCTGAAGCCACAGACATGAACATGCCTTTGGAAAGGGCAGCAAGAGAAGAGGGCTGATGCAGATGACTTAGGAGTAACTGGAGAGGCAGGATAAATGCTCCAAGGGCTCAATCACAGAAGCTGAAGAGGAAAATCTGTGCCAAGACAGGGACTTGCTCAACTGCACTGACTGCTGCTGAGAACTCAGGGAGACTGAAAGCGGGCAAGGGAATGACAGATTTGCTGGTGAGGTCACTCTGATGCTTGACAAAGGGCAAGTATGGAGACAGGATTTTATGGTCAATTGCTATATATCAGTGAAAAATAAAAATGAAATAAAATAGATATTTTGCTGTGAAGAGGAACAATGAAGTGGGAAGGTAGTTGCAAGGGGATCATCAGGGAGTTGGAGTGCTCCTTTCTTTAAAAGACGTGGCATGTCCAGTGGGCATATCCGGCTCC